TACTACTAGCTATCTTAGCATGAGACATAATAAATTCCGTCAATTCGTTAAAATTAGGCTCTCTCTCCTCTTCGTCCCACTTGATTCCTAGCTCTGCCCACTGGGCTTGCATTCGACGAGGTAAGAGCCTGACTATTCGTTCTAAAGTAACCATGGAATTAAGTTCCGTTGTGTAATTTAGCTGTTCTAAAGTTAAAGCAGCATTCTGCATTTTAATAGCCAAGTTCGTCAATTCTTCAGAATCATTAAAATCTACATTCCCAGTTCTAAATAAATCCTCTAAGGTTTCTCGGGCTATTACATGCGACTGTCCAAAGAGCTGTTTTAAAATGGCCTTAGCTCTCTTATATCCTGCTTGTGGATCCATAATAATACAGCCTTCAATCGCATTTTTTGCTTTTCCTTTACAATAGTATGACAAATATGACAACAACTGGCCCTTGTCAGACAGTTTACTCTCTATAATGCTTGTAAACTGACTAATAAAACGGTGGTACTGGCTTGGTTGTCCGTCAAAAAACATCATATCGATTTTAGGCAAAACTGTATTATTAACCGTAGCACGTAACGTGTCCTTTAATTCATCAATACAATCGCATTTTGAGGCGTTAATTACCTTATTACGCGCAATATCACAATCCAAATACCTTTCGACTTTAGAATTTATCTCAGCTTTGTCTACTGACAGTTGGTTATCGTTTTCTATGAGCTTACATTCTAATTCAGCCATATCAACTTCCTCTTGAAGCTCTAACATTTTAAGCTGCTTTTCTAACTCAAGTCTCTTTTCCAAATTCTTCTTCTTAATTAATGCCTTATCTAACTTAAATCTAGAAGTACTAAACTGAGATGAAGACTTACTATCAACACTAATATCATCAAGTTTATCATCATTAACATCAGACATACCACAAACAGCTTTAGAAAATTTACCATCCATTTCGTCCTGCTCCTTCAGCTTTTTGCTTCTAGTTTCCATTGTATGCTTTGTTAGAAATCGATTACCAAGCAAATATGAAATTATTCCAAACGTATTCGCCAATAATAACAAAATGTCCAAAAGTATCCAAAATATAACCAAAGAACCAAAATTGAATTGTCCAAAGTATCCAACGACCAAATTAAAAGTTAGAAGAACCTTTGGACCCAAATTTCCAAAAGTTTCCAGCGACCAAAATTGAATTGAAGAACCTCTGGAGCCAAATGACCAAAAATCCAATATATGACGAATTTAAATCAGAAGAACTTTTGGAGCCAAACGACCAGAAATCCAATATATGACGAAAATAAATTAGAACTTTTGTTACGTCCAGTTTTTTGCTCGTTGATCTTACGAAGCACGGTTGTCGTCTATTTGTAATTCACGGTCCCAAATTTCTATACCAAGAACGAAACTCCAAAGTAGATACCAAAGTTTATTCCAAATCACAAATTCGACCAAAATACTTTATTACAAATAGACGACCAATGTCGTTCTAACAACAATAATTATAATAATTACAATTACCTTCTAATTTATTATCTCTTGGAGCAAAAAACTGCAACGAACAACAAAGAGAAACGGGAGTCCAAAATGTCCGCAAATAATAATTCAAACAAGTTCATAAGTTAAGTAAAACAAATATACCCAAAAAACAGTGAAATTAATTATATTTATACATGAAGGTTTTGATCAGCAAAATGTCTTCGTTTCTCCCGTAACAATATGGCCACAGCCATATTTGGATTGATACGGTGGCGGTTGGACTTAACGTCACTTATTCCCCTTTGCTTTGGATACTCATCGGAGTAATTGTGCCTTGGAAGGTGCATCAACTCCAGACCGTTTTCTCCTAGAATTGTTGTGTTTTTTTGGACCTTGGACTGGGAGATACGCGTACAAATTGCACTTACTGGAAACCATTTGAACTGCCACGGTAGAAAATCCATTTATAGGTTTACCATGTACCAGTGCCAGTTGTTATGACCTTTTCTAACTTTATGGATCATGTTTACCGGGTTGCTTGGTAGAGTAGGATGCATCGAGTTTTCATTATGAGCGTTTTTGCGAATAAGAGCCTGGTTATTAAAGATAGGGTGTGGGGTGAAAAATCGTCTACTTCCACATTCACTGATAACTGTAAGGTTCGGTTATTGTGCAGTGTACCTACTCTTGGATATTTATTATTTTTGTGCATGATCAGATATTGGTCAAACATGTTCTTGTTATTATCAGTCTTCAAACTAAGAGAGGTTAGGGGCACATCACATGACAAATGGGTGAAGCTGTTCATCGTAGCCGGGAAATTCACAGGCAATCGGATATAAATCCTACCTATTTTTTTATTTGAAACCCAACATTTAGTCTGTTCACTTTTATTAGTTAAAGATAGAGTGTTTTGATCCCCCAGACGCGTTTTTCAAGAAAAATTCAGTTTTTTCGAGTAGTCTCGAGTAATATATTTTGGGGATCTAGTCTTTATTTTATTAACGTTAGCTGGATTTGTGTTGTTGTTGTTATTGGTTGACTTTTCGACGACAGTCAGTATTTGTTTTTGAATTTGTCTTTACTTATGTCATCGGAAGTTGTCTCCAGTAAATTTTTTGTTATGACACATTAGCGCGATCCTGTGGCCTCTCGTGTTTTTATTTGATGTTGACAAGGCGTTAGATCCGGAGTAACCTTTATTTCTTTGTACAGGTTTGATGAGCTTATATTTTCGTTCATTGCTGCACCCAAATTTGAACAAAATGGGGCAATTAAATAATTTCAACAAGAATAGCGCTGTTTTTTCGCATGTATTCAAGCATTGGAGAGCTATGCAACCTGGTGGGACCAAAAATTACCGGTTCACATTATATTCATTGAATTCGCAAAATCTTTCATCATAATAATTCTTCCCTACTCCTGATACCTCCAATGGAGCATAGGCCGCCTAACTCTGTCCTGGGCTTCCCTCTCCAGTTCTGTCCAATGTTTGTTCATTACTCTCATATCTTTCTCTGTTTCTCGGCGTAATCTGTTCCTTGGCCTTCCTCTTTTCTTTTTGCCTTGAGGGTTCCATGTGAGGGCTTGTCTTGTGACGCAGTTAGGTGCTTTTCGTAGTGTGTCCTATCCACTTCCACCGCTTCTTCCTGATTTCCTCCTCCACTGGAATCTGGTTTGTTTTCTCCCACAGTACGTTGTTGCTGATTGTGTCTGGCCAACGAATCCAAAGTATTTTGCGTAGACAACTGTTAATAAACACTTGTATATTCTGGATGATTCTTTTCGTAGTTATCCAAGTTTCCGCTCCATACAGTAGAACTGTCTTCACAATTGCATTGAAAATCCTGATTTTGGTTTTGCTTGAAAGTTGTTTGGTTGTCGATGATGCTGCCCAGATATATAAAGGTGTTAACGTCCTCCAAGGCATCTCCATCAAGAGTGATTTGGTTGGTGCATGTTGTGTTGCATCGGAGAATTTCGCTTTTTCCTTTATGTATGTTGAGACCTACTGCTGCAGAGGCTGCTGCTACACTGGTCTTCTCTTGCATTTGTTGTTGCGTGTGCGATGGAAGAGCCGAGTTAAAATGGTTTGAATTATTTTTTCTGGTTATCGTTTTTTTGGCCAGTTAGTTTTTGACGGAATGGGGTCGCCAACCCCTTGTCCAACCCTCCTCCTTTACCCGGGCTTTGGACCGGCAGTAGCCCCGAAGGTTCTACTGACGGAGTTATCATAATAATTCACATACTCCTAATTGCGAAAGTTGGTAAAATGGGCTTACGAAGGACCTCCATGGTTAAACACTGCGAATAAGATGATGGAAAGAAACGCTAGACAATGCGTCAATACTCAGGCGAAATATCTTTCCCCACCTTGAACGAGTGTGCTTGAAACGTGCCTCGAATCTTGTTTGTTGTCACTTATCTGACGTACATCATACAAAGCACACCATATCATCCCAACGTGAACTTCCTATCGAAGCATCACCACCACACCCCTCGAGGTAATCCTCGAACAGTTGCGCATCAAAGAGCGAACACTCAGGTTCTTTCACATATTTTCTCATTAAGAGTCGTTGCAACGTGGAATACTCCGCCAGCCAAAGAGACCATAGACTCCTAAGAGGACAGCTTTTAGGTGAGACTTGATAAACACGTACTCCCATACGGTTTATCATCTCTGGCTTGCACCTATGTCTGACGCATGTCCTGAGACTTGCTAGTTGTTATAATTGCCATCTACTCAGATCACTAACTTAATCCATCTAGCCTATTATATCTGTTTCCTCTCCCTTGCTTACACTTCTGTCCTCTCGTGCAATCTTCACTACACATCAATTAACTTATTTGTCCATTTATTTACTTAGTTTTGAAACCTTCTTCTTGTCACTATAAGGATTTTCTCATCATTATTCTCCACAATGCAACTAACTGATCTCCGGCCTGGTAACATGATAGCTGCTACTATCCAGAAACCCTACTGCCCTGAAACAAACGTTTTCATTCAAATCTCGAGACATACAAACTCTCAACCAACTGCCAACTGACTAGAATTAGACAGTCGAGTGGCTAGACCTCCAACCATTGGACATTACCGAACACCTAGAACCGCACCGAAAGAACAAGAATCGAGCGAAAAGAAATCGAATTGGTTTACACTATCTCGTGAAAAAGATATTGGATATTGGAAACATACGTCTTCTTTGGAATAACATTTTCTCAAAATGATTCTCCCTATCGCAACAATATGATCACCCGCCCGGCACTGTAATAGTTTATACTATCAGCAAACCCTGCTGCTTTAAGACAGACAGAATTACAAGATATACAATTCCATAAATAACTATCAAAATGAGTGGAATTATTGTAACCAAGTGATTCGTCTACCACCCAATGACGATTACAGACACCTAGAACTACAATGGAAAAATAAGGAGTGAGCAAAAAGAAATCATCCGTTTTAACCAGCTGATAAAAAAAAGATATTGGATTTCGGAACTTGTCGACCGGACTTTCTAAAGCACACGTTACGGTTATGGAAACTGTCGTAACGTCAGTTTACAATTTTTGGCGAGATGTTGAATTTAGTGAATTACAAGTACTTCACGGTTTTCTCAGTTGTTATATTTAAGAAAAATCTGGAGTCGGTAGCGTCTGAGCTGACCTCTAATCATGAGAAAAACGATATTTCGAGGACTAATTTAGTACATCAAACTAAAGAGTTTCGAAAATCTGCTCCTGAAGTAATATGAATTTTACAGTAAATTTAGGTCAAGGATGTACGTAAATATTCCTCTACCGTTATCAAGTGTTATCAGTTGGAGTTTGATGCACTACATAAAAGGTGTACGTATGCTGAAGAGGCTTATCTTTCCCTGTACAAACGACTTATCGAACTTCCAGGTTTAGTAATCTGTTAAGATATAATTTTTTATAGATCCATCCTTTGCACTCAGTGAACTATATTCTTTACAAAAACGAGCCGATAAAGCTACAGAATTTGAGTTTGAGTCGCGGAAATTCAAAGAGAGCTGTGACGAATTGAAAACCAAAGTTCAGGAACTCAAAAATTGTGGTATTACTCAAAGTTGTATTTTATTTCAGAACGCGAAAATAAATGCTTACAGAAACGCATCGATGAATTGACTGTCTCTTTAGATTCTCAAATCCAGCTGAATAGTTCAAAAATAGTGGATGAATATCAAAAAAAGTTTGAGTCCAAAGAGCAAGAGTTCGCTGTTTTCAAAGTCGAGGCCGAGGAAAAGCTTGGTAGCCTTGAATCTAAAAATGTGGCCATTTCCAAAGGTATGTTGTGGTTGATGATGGATAATGCCGAAATAATCAATTCAATACGTGAATGTGTTATGACATAACTTTGGCTAAATACAGTTGTCATATGATATAAACAAAGTCACAAGACTATTGATTTATACACTCTGAACCTCTTTCTTCGTTATTTTATTTTAAAAGTCGATCCAATACTGTAGGGGCTCTTTATTTGACTTCTATTAGTCTACTAAGTGCTAATAGTGAACAGATATCGGTTTCTCTAGCAATTAATGATATTGGTAGAGATCCCCATGCCCCCTGATTTTTGTTCAGCTTTTTCATGGGTACAATCCGTAAGATTAAGTTTCGTGTTTCACTTTTCCAGGAGATTCCTTTGTCGACTTAACGTATCCAGTTAACATTTTCTTGTTTTGTGATAGTGACAAACTGACCTCTTTTTTGAATGTCTTGAGAAACAGTGCAACAACATTTGGGATGTACTTTTTATCCAAAGTGGGAAACTGTTGCAAGAATTGTCTTTACCAACGCGGAGATTATCAGTAACGAGTGAAGTACATAAGGCCTCCGAAAACTATGTCCTGAGAGCTTCATAAAAGGCCGTTCGTGACTGGCCTCAAGCAGTTGTCCCTTAGGCTTTGCGGTCACGCTCCCAGGTTGTAAAGACCAGTAAAACATAAGTCGGTGGTTGGGCATTCGCAAAACATTTCCCAACCACCTCATCTGATCAAGTCTAACTACTTCATCTATTGATCTGCCATCCTTAACTAGCACTTGTTCCCTAATCACAACATTGCCCACTCGGTTATCCCAGGATACACGAGCAATGCTTCGAAGACACCTATGATCGAAAACCAGTAACATTCTAACTCATATTTGGGTTTCTTGATGAGTCTGAATAGTTGTCTACTGTTGCTTATCGCCGTTGCCTTTTCCATAGCTTTCGCCACCCACCACTGTTCTCGATCATTGCGTTGTCTTTTTATCAGCCTGCGCCTAAGCTATCTTCGCTCCTCATCACACTCAGAGCCAGGAGGGATGATTTTTCAAGCATTCATCAGTTCGGTAGATGCTGAGATCCACGGCTTCTTCTTAGCCTTATGGTTTACCTTGCTAGCAGATATCACTGCCGTTTCCACAGCCTTTTTGATATCATTCCAACCTGCTTTCGGATGAGAATCGCTTACATGTTTGCCTAACCCTCTATCTTGTTGCTCCTGAAATATATTCTTAGCTTTATTATCATTAGGTAGAACCCTAAGAGGTTTTTCTTGCGATTGAGCCATTGAGCCTGAAACAAATACGCGCTCGAACTAGAGCATTATCTGAATCTAAACATGTGCCCCAGAACGAGCGACAGTCCTCTATCGGACCCCTCCATCGATGGCTGATGGCGATGTGATCTAGTTGGGTCCAACATTGAGACGACTTTCGGGGTCGCCAGGTCAAGAGATGTTTTTCCTTATGCCTAGAGTTAGTGTTTGCTAGGAATAGGCGGTTATCTGAACACAACTACAGAAGACGGTCACCATTGTCTGTTCTCTGAGCCGCGACACCATAACATCCACCCAGGTGTCTTTCATTTTCACTTTGTCTACCTACTTGAGCTTTAAAGTCACCAGCCATTATCACTACATCGGAGTGCCTAACTTTTTGGAGGAGGTCCGAAAGCTTTCTGTAGAACCCATCTTTCAGCTCATCTGAACTGCAGTCAGTGGGGGCATCGGCAGATACGACGAAGAGGCAACGGCAAGTGTCCCTATCTTTCCGAGTCCTTACTTTTCTGTTTAGTCGGATAGCACACAAGCGACTATCTACTGGGATCCAGTCTAACAGAGATTGTTCAGCTCTACCACTCAATGCTGTACCTACAGCAGTGTGACCGCAGGAAGCAGCATCAGGACTTCCAGATATACGAATAGTAAATCGGGCTGCTTCTTTAGATTGATAAGGTGAAATCAAATTAATAACTTTACTAGGATCCTGCATGCGCGTTTCCGAGACGTAGCATACATCGATGGCGCGAAATTCTAAAGTCTAAGCTAATGAAGCCTGTTGCCCTATTTGACACAATATCCGTACATTAAATACTCCAACATGTAGTTTAGAACGGGTTTTCAGGAGACCAGGAACAAGGTTTCGGGAACTCGAATCGTTTGCAGCAGAGGTGCAGGAAGATAAAGGAATGTGAGTGGAGTTAGTCGTGGAGATGAGACAGATAATCGGGGGTGTAGAAAGGATTTTATTTTGACCAATTTGGTCTCGCATGCTGTTACTGGTATGCGGGCGGTTGTCACTTTCCGGCTGCCCACACCGTGGAAGGTTGTTTCTTGAGGGACCTGAAGAGGAAGATAGATTAGTGCTGGTCTTTACGACGTGGGAGCGTGACCGCAAAGCCTAAAGGACAACTGCTTGAGGCCGGTCACGCATCGTCTTTTTATGAGTTTTTGCTCCGCTCTTGTTGAAAAGGTCTTATCGCGCGAGGTCGAAATCTGTGAGGTAGGGTGAGGTGTGTCATTTTTATGGTCGACCACTTTTAACCCTTCCTTCCTCGTGAGAAGGCAGCATCACTGCAGATGCTGCTTGTTTGTGGGAAACATCTTACTGCTGTCACACTCCTCCGCAGTCAGCAGTACTGCTTCACCCTGAGACCTTGGGTAGCTGCTTTTAATCTCATCGTTCTCCAATCGACCTGCCTGGCATTGTAGAACCTTCAGGATCATATGTTCCAGCTAATATAGCTCGGTTGGATCATGACTATAGGCAAGCCCAACCGCCAGGTCAAGGTAGCAGCTTCGGTCGTCACTGACGACTTGCTTGAGCCGTATTGGTAGGTGTAGAATATCAGTATGATAAGTTATTTTAGTAATGCTTTCGCTTGTTAACATATTATTCTCTGAATTTCAGCCCTGGAAATGACACAGTCTGAATTGTTCAGGCTTAAAACAGAGGTAAACACCACTAACACCGGCAGGTTAGTTTAAAATGCTTTGTTTAAACACAATGTCTTTGATAGGTCTTCTGAACTTGAGTTACTTATGGATGATCTTGAAAAATCAAATGCGGTAAGTAGTAATCCTTATCTTTTATTACATTCAAATTGCCTTTTGTCAACATTTGTATTGGTTTTCGGCGAGAATTTTTTCATATTTTGACAATTCTTCCGTAATAGAAAGCTTCGTTTTCAAATGATCACAGTTGTAAGTTTAGCATGTTGTTTGTTGAGGCTAGTTTAATAAGTCATGAAAAACATTTAAGCACAACCAACTACAGTTAATTTTGTTTATTGATTTCAATCACTGATTCCTTTGTTTTTTTTTATGAATAGTCTAAATTTATTCACTAATGAGATACAAAAGTTTTTCTAGTTTCGTGTTTTGTTATGCTGTCTTTTTGTGCATTCCTGGCTAGGTATTTGAGTACAATGAATGCAAATAAATGTTTCACATTCTTCCTCAAACATTGTTATTTCAGGAAAATTTTCCCAATGAATGTAAGAAAAGGCTGATATCAAATTTCTTCACTAGATGACGATCTTGGTAATATGAAGATGTTTTTATTATCTTAGACTTTACCAAAATTATAGTTACTACAACGAACTGCATCAACTTATGTAAATCTTTCAAAAAAGCCTAATATTTTCTTGGTGTGACTATGTATGATTATCCACATAACTTTTTACATTCTTCATGTCTACCAACTATCAGTGGATAATGTACTGCTTGATATACTTGTTATGCTCGTCTCTAGGTATGCTTAAAACGTTTACGGGTTCACCTTAGTCGAATAACGAGAACAAAACAATGAACCAGAGTCCAGGTAGGCTACTGTGATCCTTTGACCCGATTGTACCAGCAAGAAGTCTTGATATAGCGTAGAAGTGTATTCTACAAACACCCAGCCAGCACACAATGATTCCAAGCACTGAAATTGCGTCTACTTATAATCCATAGAGACGTCCTTGTGACAGTCCCCAAAATAGCACACTGAAATGACACAGTAACCAATCACAGCCAAGGATTTTTCTGGTGGGGAATGTGATCTCAAGGTCAACTGATCGGACCATGAAATGAATCCAAAACGAGGATATTTATCAAGCGAGTTCTGGGGATCTAATATCCCCAAAAATACTTGCCTCACTTTAAATAACCGGGCGGTTAATTCACAAGTTTTTGTCTAGTAATCTTTATGATTTATGTACTGACTTGTGTAAACCTATTGAAAACATGAGTATAGTGACGACACCTGAAATAAATACATGGCAGCTACAAAACGTATGGATATCTGTACAAGTGTAGCGAATTTCTTAATTGTTTGCCAATATTTTATTGTCAATAAATTCCCATAGAATTGGCCTTCTGTATCATCGTGTATCTGCAGTTGTTTCTATAATGATCGTCGTTTGTTAGAAAAACCCCAAAATTGTTACTTTAGTATATCATATCTCTCAGTTTTCCTCTCGAACAATCTTTGATCTTAAGTAACTGTCAACTGCCTCTGCAAATACATGCCAGATGGGATGTATTCTTGTATAGTTCATTCCTTCGACGTTTTTTGAGAATCATATTTTGCATTTTCTATTTTTTGATAGCTATTTAGTGATTTCATTCATTCATACAGTCATGCCTACCTACATATGTTACCTACTAACTGTCGTTTCATAGTTCCAATAACTCCTCGTCTTCATAGAAACACAGCGTTGAATTCCATTTCTGTTGCATATAGTATGGAGCCTGTAAATATAAGTGTAATCCGATCGTACTGAAGTCTTCAAAAATTTAAATTTTTAACCAAGTCTGAATGTTGAGTCAATTATAATTTGCTTGAAATTTAGTAATTTATATTCAAGATTTTTTATTTTCATAACGTTCTAGAAACTTGCTTCTGCTGAAGCGGAGCTGGCTAAATTACGCGAGGATCGTGCGCTTGTTCAGAATTCGCCAATCTCAGATATTAGTCGACTTAAGTGTCGCATCGAAGAGCTAGAGTTCGAATTATCCAGTAGTACTCAGCAAGTAAGTTCAACAAGGTTTACTTTTAAAGTTAGCGCTGTTAAATATAAAGTGACCAATGAAGAGTATGAACTTACATAGACTATCTAAGCCGATTGATTATGGCCTGTTTTAATCCTTTCAATCCATCTCAGTTACATCCTTCGTTCTTTCCTTACTAACTAACTGACTAACTTACTTTCGTGGAAAATTAGGTTTTTAGTGACCTAGTGCATAAGAATTGTAAAAGTAGTAATACATTAGATTCGTTGAATATTTTATCATCAATCGGGTGCTTTTGTTGTAGTTATATGAGAAGCTGTTATTCTCCAGTTACCTACATCATGAAAGGATACTCTGTGAAATACCTGGAAAGTTTCCTAGATAGAATGAACTTATAGTCATCTTGGAAACCTAAAAGTATCACCACAATACTCAAGAATCAACTATTCAAGGTCTTTTACACATGACCTTACTGTCAGTAGTTCTTGATCTGTGAGCTCCACACTTTGAAATCCTTACTTCTAGCATCAGAAATACATAGCTTAGTTTGAACTGTTCTGTTTTAGACTCAACCTTCTCTAATTCCTCCCTCAGTTGTGTAAAGGTAACATCGTCTCGAATAATGGTTGTCTGAGGAAAACATGTGACTCTTGTCACACCTCAGTACTCCAGTCTTCAGTATGAGTTCACCCTCAAACTTCGAGTGGCTACTTTTAGTTTTAGCGTTCTCTAACTGAGCTACAGTGTATGATAGTAGGTACAGAAACATGTTTTTTAGGTAATATAGCTTGATCGGGTCATCACGATCAGTTATCTTGATTATCACATCAAGCTTGAAGTAACTGTCTTACTTGAAAAAAACGGTTTGATGCAAATATTAGCTACGTATCATTCATATCAAGCAAACCATTCCAACTCCGTAGAGGATGATGAACAAATTATTTTGATTGCTCTCGAAGTGACATGACAGCTAATCGTATAAAGTATGAGTTTATAGGAGTTTAGGGCTGTATGGACTAGATATTTTGATTTTTTCGTAACAACTAGAGTTACTCAGTGTACACTGATTCCCATTTAAGTAACGCCTCAATTTAAACGTTTATACATAAAACGTTAGGTTTTACTTTTGTACCACTTATCCTCTTACTTTTTCGTAATTGTTTGATAGCTGTTTAAAAATTCTTTAATGCTCTCAATTTTACCGATAAACACCTTTTGGTGTTTTAGAATGGTTAGCAACATTACCCAGTTTTTCGTTTCCGGTTTTAGAAATCATCATTACTCGATCAGTTAGAATCTCTCAAACTTTCAAAGTCATCTAACGAAACAATCTTGGAAAATCGTATTCAAGAGATGGAGAAAACAATTTCTCAAACCAAAGCTTCGCTAGAAGTAGCTAATATTAAGATCGCCAGTCAATCAGATTATGCAGAGATTAAGCGAGAACTGTTTCTTTTACACTCGATTGAATTCCCTGAAGATGTTCAGCTCAACGAATCTGATGGTTTTGGGAAAGAAGAAACATCCACTCGTGCTCCATTGGAAGTACTTCTTTTAAAAAAGAATAAATCATTGGAGAATCAGTTGGCTGAAGGAAATTCTCTACGTGATAAGCTACAAAGTAAGTGTTACAAAAGAGATAAATTTCAGTTTTTGACACTTATTTCATAAGTTAACCGATATCAATCATTTAGAAACTACAGATTGGTATTTTCAGCTTCAAACCACACCTTATGTTTGAGAACTAACACTGCTACTATTATGACTGCTAGCTAAGTATTGACAATGAAATAAGGCGAATTTAAAACTTACTCAATCATTAACGTTCGTTTAATTCTACTTTTAAAGCTCTGTTTTACAATATCTATTCCGTATTGCAGTTTGTGGAAATCATCCAAAATTACTTCACAAATGATCTATGTTCCGTACTAAATAAATGTAATTAGACCGTCCTTCAGAATTTCAACTTACCTGATAAAAAATTACAATTAAAATCTTATTCTTTGACCGTATTTCTTGATTATCTTTATGATAAAATGTAACTAAAAGTTTGACGAACAAACAATGCAAATATTTAGTCAATAGGAACGTTCTATAAAAATGAGTTTACTAGGTACGAACGCTACTTACATGTATGTAAGTTATGCTAAGGTTATTTGCAAGTTGTTAATGATTGCTTAGTCAACTGATCAAAAATAAGTTCACAATTACAATAGATAATTGGTATGACAGTGACCTGTTTATGTAATAGAAAACTGACTGCGAACGAAAAATAATGTATGAAGCGGTTTATATTTTGCGTGACAATCAGTGTTACATCCAAACAGTGTTAAAGAAAATTTTTGGTCAACTTAAACAACAATTTATAGTTGAAAACAATGTACAAACGGAAGGGAATTATGAAAAATTTAACAAATGACAAAAATTATTTACAAATGAAGTTTATGGATTAATTTACTGTGGTAATTGTCCATTTTAAATATTCAACTGAATTGTAAAAAATTTAGTTGTAAATTACCGCATTATGATTCTGTTATAAACACACTCAATTTTAACATTTTTTTTTACACTAAATGTTAATGATCTCGCTTATACGACCCATTTATCTTATTGCTTAGTATACTTCGACCACTGTACAACTGCTCAGCTAATCCTCAAAATCAGAACATGACTTGAAAAAGTAGATAACTATATTCTGACAAACCAAGATGAATGCAACGGAATCATAGTAATAAAAATGTTAACATGTTCATAATTTTACAGAAGAAAATTCTTGAACCTTTGTCAGCTGTCCATTGGCTCTGACTGACTAAGAATACGCCAATCAGCACGCTCCAACATAATTCTGCACCGGAGATACTCTGATCCAATCTGTCTTGCTAACGGGTTATAATTATTTAAATGTAATTAATTATTACCGAAAAGAATAAATAACTTGTACATAAAGAGTGGTATTTTTCCATAAAATGTGTAATCCTCGGGCAAGTAGGCCAGATTTGTCTTTTGAATGGTTGGAGGCTGAGTCAAGTTTATTGTGGGTTATGGTGTTACCAATGACTAATAGTGGACGTTCATACATTGAGTTCACTGTTATGTTATTTTCAAGTTGTGTCGCGAAACTGAAGTCATAATACCTTTACAATTACTTTAAATATTTAGTGCCATAAATCTATAAGTAAAAAGGAAGATTTTTCCTTTCATACTCTATCTTCACAATGATATTATAATGTTGATACTATAAAAGGATATTAAATCAAATATCACTGAGTAGTTGTCCATGTAATATTTATTTAGTCTTTAGTGCTGATCGGATTCTGTCGATTAAGTGGTAATATGCCCGGCAGTCTATGTGACGAGACGTCATGTACAGTACGTTCGAATGTGAGATGGTTGGAGATAGTCGACGCGAGATACCGAACCTAAGTATCATGCTAGTAGCACTCGTTAGAACAGAAATCAGAAAATGAAGCAGAAAAAGTTTGTTTGTGTAGTAATATACACTGACCTTGAGGCACACGAAGCTGGTAAACTGGAGCGATGACAGCTACAGTCATTGCGAAAAGATAATTCGTAAAAAAAGTTATCAAGAGTATCTCTTAAAGAAAGATCTAATATGCAATAACAAATAACTAGATAACAAGCTCTATTCGACGACTACTGTCGAAACTTAAATTTCTCATTGAACTTTCTTGACTAAAAATTATACTTTTACTGTTTATTAACATATGTTTCTTTTGGTTTCAAATCTGAGGAATTTCTCTTATTTTTCTTGATAATCCTTTGAGTTACTTTTCAAAAATATTTCTATTTCGTTTCCTTTCGGAAAACAGTTGAACTTGATCAAGTTCAATCGAATGAAGTTGAATTAAATCAAAGAATTAAAGAGCAAACAGAATTGATAAAATTGTTAGAATCTGATCTTTATCGTCTGCAAACAAATTTAGATGAATCGTTGAAGTTAAGTGATTCAAGAAGTCGATTGGAAGGTCACTTTCTTGCAGAAATTATGGGTGACCAAAAACCAAACCAATGTAAGTATCAATAATTGATAATGTTGTCAATTAAGAATTCCATGTTCTTTTATTTTGATTTTTGAAAGTACTTCTTTTTTATGAATAATAAAAATTCATGAGTCATTACATTGTAAATGCATAGTAATGAGTCTTCAGCAATTGAATTGGTTGAAATATATGCCTACTTAGTGATCCGATATTTGCTGGTTCATAAGTTGGTGCAAAGAAATCTGAGGTCGGTCAAATCAAGATGTGACATTAATCCACGGAGTCATAGACTGTATGTTTGAGTCAGTTTAGTAGATGCAGATTACGTGGTTCAAATTCTCTTGATTAGAATTACTTATGGTTATGGGCCATGAAGAGAAAATAGTGCGAATGGATTAAATTTATTCACTTGTTGTATTCCAACAGATCTTAAATTTAAATTTATTTATTTACTTTTCTATCCGATGAATTGATTCTTTCTTCTTGACTCTTACTGTCTATGCTTAATACTTTTTACTACTACTGAATCTGTTAATACTCCTACTACTATATAGTATGTTTTAATAAACTCATCTCAAATCGCAAATGTGGCGTGACAGCGTGAACGGATGCATGTGTGTGGTAATTTCTATGTTACATCTAACTGACTGAAACTTTGCAAATTATGTACGTACTGTGTAAAAGATAAACAGACATTTTAGGTGTGCAACAGTTTTGTTCTCTGAGCTGGATGTTTTGGTTGTGGAGCTATTCCTGCACTTTATCTTTGTCTTTTTAAGTCTGTTTCAATAGTTTCTACATCTTGAATAATATCTTCTAATGCTAACCTCTCCGACTACTGCTAATACCTTTACTATCTGTACTACTATTGGATTTGAATTGACAATTGCATCTCTGTGCTAGTGTGGTTTGGCAACTTGAACTGATGTACGTGCATGCGAAATTCTATGTTGTTGTTGACTGACTGATTTCCTTTGTTATGTTTCTTGATCCTACGTTTGTCTACAATTTTTTTTGATTGGTTGATAATTTGGATGAATGTCGATGTGTTTGTTGATTGCTGATTGACTTGAGTGCCAAGCTTCTAAAAATGTTATAGTGTTCTTTGTACTGTCTCTATCCAGTATTTCAACATTGTTCCAATCCAACGTATGTCCATAGTTGTCCGTGTGTATTCATATAAGGGAAGGAATGTTATGACGCTTGAGTGTTAATTGATGTTTTCGTAGGCAAGGCTGAAAAGGACGTCCACATTGTGCTGATGATGTTTTACTAAAGAACAATGAAAGCTCCACTACCGAAACATTTAGCTCAGAGTATGAAAGTTCACCACAATCATCCACCTGAGCTACAAATTTTCTACACCATGTCAAAGACATTTTAAGTGTTTCAATCAGATAGCCAGATAGTTTTTGTAGATGCCAACAATTGAGAACATGAGTAAATATTAGGGAAAGATTATTTCCTACACGGGTACTAATGTATTTAAGAAACAAATTTGTAAATTAGAGTGCTGAAAAGAGGATAAGTATAAAGCGGTATGAATGTGGGTGACCATAATAAAAATAAGGAACGGTTTCTGGGTAGGTCACCAAACTGAACTATACAAACGATTTGATGGTATATTATATGATAAATCTGAAACCAATTTTCTCTATTGTACAGTGGTAATTATACTTGAAAATTTACGGGTTTTCTTAGACCATTCACTACCTACTGTCTGACTAAATTCTTTTGTCAGTAATAAAATTTAAACATTTTCCAACATTGGCTTAGAGTAGTGCATATTTGCATTTAAAGAGTAGTTTACCTAAAACTAAACTTTCCAAACATTATCAGTATCTGTAGTGTGAAGCTGTACAATTGATTTCAAAAATTACACTCATTCTCGTGTATTATTTTTATAATGTTTATAAACATTTATCAATTCAGTGACTATATTCAAAATTCATTTCAAACAGTTGATTTTTTAAAACACCTTAACTAATCAGTTACACTTACAACTATATGTGATAGATTGTAAAGAGTCAAGATCAGTTGTCATTTCCATTAGAGCACTACAGTAAGAGGAAAATTTTGAAACTTAACGGTTCATTGTACGAATTGTTAATTCTACTGCATGTGTTAAAATGTTTGTAATGAAATTTATGCATTTTAATTAACTGTTCTTACAAACTGATGCCTGCCAGTTCTAGTGTTTATCACTTCAGTATAAAGATAGATGGCTAACATGGGAAATGTTGGTGCCACGCTCATCTCGAAACTTTGTTATCTTTTTCTGAATTTGTTTAAATCGAAAAGTGGAATTTTTACGAAAATCGCAAGCTGATTTCATCTAACATCAGTCACAGTAATGTAGATACATTCACTTTTTATTTTACTGTTAATCTTAAGTTTCTAATATTCCTCCATATTTGCCATTTCATTGTTTTTTCGAACTAAATTCTTAATGTTCAATTCTTATTATGATAATTGCTGTTTTAATTTCGAATCCTTTGTGGTTCATCTCACTATATTAATATGATATAGCAAATTCAAGTAATACATATATGTACGAGTCTCTACGATGACTTTGACTGATTGAATTTAGTTTAAAATCAATTGTGTTGTTGTATGAATAAAATCTGCACATATCTTAGCGAAACTAGTGTGTACTATCTTAAGTTTCTTTCAAAGTGTTATTAATATTCTTATTAATATTGTTATTTATGGGACGTTTAATAATAATATATTATATATATATGTATATATATAGACGAACAGTCCCTACTGAACGTTGTACAAGGTCAACGCGATCGATTTCGAATACGAGCTGAAGAGTTGGAACAGGTTAGTTGGTAAAAACAGCCGCCTTTTTCAGGTGATTTACTTTTCTAGGTTTACTTGTTTCTTCAGCAAAAATAATTCTACAGTACACTATCAGACTAAAAATAACACGAAGTCCTAATGTTTTGCTCGAAAAGAGAGTCCTTTTTATCAGTATAGGGTTGTAGAGATGGTTAAGTTTCATTGAAGTCGTGAGTCGATCAATTTTAGACGACCATTCATATCCTGAAGCACCAGGCGGCTATTTTTTTCTAGTTTGGCGGGTACTACTTGCAGCGTGATTCGTCAGTGGTATGCAGTGAAGAGTGTCGGATCCGGATGTATGGTGTGATCAGTGTTTTGAAGACTAAAAGACATGTGGAAGAAGACAGTCTATAATCCACTTGTTTTGCAAATGTAGCCTAAAGATGAGATGTACACATTATGCTAGTAAACTGTGCCTTTCTGTTTAGTGTTAAAATTTTTGTTCATTGCACTAGTATTAGACATCTCGTCAGTGCGCGTCTACGATTGTGCAAGCGGGAATGAAACTGAGGGGTCCTTAAGATGTACAAATCACCAGCCGATAGTAGTGAACACCCAAGTGAATTTAGTTTAAGAGTCATGATGCTGTACAGAGCAACTACATTAGTTCTTCATCCAGTTTGGTTCATTCTGTTAGTTCCTTTTTTGATCATAACCGTTTATTTTGTCTACTGTTGAGAATAGTGGTAATACAATATTATAAAATTATGCACGCCTAGTTGACTTTTTAATTACCCCAATGGGCATATACATTTTAAATTACAATAAACATCAAAAAATTTTCATCGGCCATGAACTCCACCGACCAATCATAAACAACTTAGAACCTGGGACCTACGTACATTAGTTCAAGTTACCATATTATATTACTCAAACGAGATGAAATTTTAATATGAATAAGTGTGATAATAGTAGTATGTTTACTGGTAAAAAAAGACGAAAAAAGCAGTGTAGAAAGCCTTTTATCCTGGTTCAGGGCTCCTCAGTAGTGTTAATCTACACGGAATCAATCACGAAGCCAATTATCACTGTAAGTATGATACTACTACAAACATTCAAAGATTTCTGCTTTTGAACACTTAGTACTCGTTATGAAGCTTATAGAAAAAATGAGCAAAATATTCAAAAAAACGTAGAAAATGTGTTTCATAGTAAATATTATGAATTTGAGTGTTCACACTCACACACTCGCGTTTGTATAGTATTAGGGATCGAAACGTGATAAATCTGGTGTAAACTGGGTGGCAACCGCCTATTCACCCTTGTTGATGAAAAACGAACATCATTCGTGATCATCACCAACTATCGCATCAAATAGTTTAAGATGATAAGTGTCATAGCTCAAAAGCATTCACTCTTTAGTTAACCTTAAATCCTGAGTTGCTAAGTTACTGTATACCCTTTATCCCATACATTCATCCATCTCCTTTTGTTTATTTAGAAACACAATTATTGTTACAAAAGGGCATCTATATATTTATGCGTCACACATCAATGAGTTTGTGTGTGGGCTGAAATACTGTCTGAGCAGTTTTCTTACGGGGCCACTCCCTGGGCCTTCAGCCTACAAATCTAATCCACAAAGCAGTGAAGCAACGTTAAGAGATGCAGTCCCATGATAGTCGGTGGCCAACAGTAGGTTTGGACGTCATTTTCCTCCTCAGGATGGTAGTCAGTCAGTCAGTTGCAACGTAGAACTTCGTACGTATGTACATAAGTTCATGTTGCCATACCACATTAGCACTGAGACGCACATGTCAAATCAAATCCCATAGTGATTAAGATAGTAGAGGTATTAATGTTAATAAAGAAGACTAGGTTTCGAAAATATTATTCAAGAAATATAATTCAGTGAGATAAGGTTAGAAAGACAAAGGTAGAGGTGCTGATGAATCCAGAAGATTAGGATTTGAGAGAGCTCAAAGAGTGGATGCCTGCGCCATCGCAAACGATTTTGAGCCATGTCGTTCAAGGTCTCTAACCATTGATGACTTTCGTCTCGCGGACCCCAACCAGGTAGTCTACATCTACCGACATGTCTCAGTCCACTTGTCAGTGACTTCATGGATTTGTGCCATGTTTTGGTCTGGCCGCCCCTAACTTTCTTCCAACCTACTCCTACACCACAAAACATAGCTCGTCGAGGCAGTCGGTGGTTAGGCATACGCAACACATGTCCCAACCACCTCAACTGATGAAGTTTCACCACTTCATCTATTGATCTGCCATCCTTACCTGGTACTCGTTTCCTAACGACACCATTGCTTACTCGGCTGTCCCACGATATACGAGCAATGCTTCTTAAACATCTATGATCAAATACTAGTAACCTACGAACATCTACTCTTAACGGCCATGTTTCACAGCCATATAAGAGAACGGAACGAACTGCTGCGCAGTACACCCGCCCTTTGGTTAGCGAACGGATATCACGCCTACGCCATAAGTGACGCAGGTTGGCAAAAGCCAATCGAGCCATCTGTATCCGTGCTGAGATTTCGTCAGTCACCAGGCCATCAGCACTGATGAGACTCCCAAGATAAGTGAAGCGGTCTACACGTTCGACCACTTCACTCCCTATCACTAGTTCAGGTGCCAATGCAACCCAATCTTGAAGCAACATTTTGCATTTCGAGGGTGAGAACCGCATCCCGAACATGCTTGCATTGTTGCTTATGGTAGTCAGAAGACTTTGCATTTTGTCAGCGTCTTCACCGAATAGAACTATGTCATCGGCATATTTTAGATCAGTAAGCGAGTTTCCTGGTAGAAGGTCAACCCCTGAAAAATCTAACGAGCCTAATGTTAACTCTAAGAGGATGTCTACGACAAAGTTGAACAGAAATGGAGAGAGTGGACAGCCCTGACGGACACCACTTGATGTAGAGAATTCAGATGACAGTTCGCCATAAGCTCTCACCCGACCAGTGGTGTTCAAGTAGAATGCTTGTATAAGGTTAATGTACTTCTTTGGTACACCTTTCAATGACAGACACTGCCACAGAACCTCACGATCCACTGAGTCGAATGCCGCCGTAAGGTCCAGGAAAACAACTATCGTAGGACGACTAAATGTGTGTCTATGTTCCAGGACCTGTCGTAGTGTGAAAATGTGGTCTATACAGCCACGTCCAAGTCTGAAACCAGACTGGTTTTCTCTAGTCTGCTCTTCAGGAGCTCTAGTTAGACGTCTAAATATAATCGAGGCTGACAATTTAGAAACTATATTAGTTAAACTTATTCCCCTGTGATTGTCACAAGAAGACTTCTGTCCTTTCTTGTAGATTGGGACAATTAGCGACTGAGACCAGTCAGATGGGATTACGTCCAGTTCCCAGATTCTACCTAGGATCTCGATCAGTCTAACCGTTAAAACTGGACCACCATCCTTAAACATCTCAGGGGTAAGCCTATCGGGACCTGCCGCTCTACCTCCCCTTAGATTTCCTATAGCTTTCTCAACTTCATGTAAACTGGGAGAAGAAGGTCCGAAAGCTTTCTGTAAAACTCATCTTTTACATCATCTGGGCTGCAGTCGGTGGGGGCGTAGGCTGATATGACGAAGAGGCAACGACGAGTGTCCCTATCTTTCCGAGCCCTTACTGTCCCGTTCAGTCGGACGGCGCACAAGCGACTATCTACAGGGATCCATTCAAGGAGAGATTTTTCTGCCCTACGACTCAATGCTATACCTACACCGGCGAGGCCCCTAGAAGCAGCATCAGGGCTACCGGATACACGAAGGGTAAATCGAGCTGTTTCTTTATCTTGACATGGTGAGGTCAAATGAGTGATGCTACTCGGATCCTGTATGCGCGTTTCCGAGACGCAGCACACATCGATGGAACGAGATTCTAAAGTCCTAGCTAATGATGCCTGTTTCCCTATTTGACACAATGTCCGTACATTGAATGCTCCAACATGTAGTTTGGAACGGGGTTTAAGGAGACCAGGAACGACGTTTCGCGAACTCACATCGTTTGCATTAGCGGTGCGCTGTGATAAATGAATGTGAGAAGAGTTAGTCGTGGAGATATGAGAGGTATTAGGGAATGTAGAAAGGATTTAATTTTGAACAATTTGGTCTGGTGTGCTGTTGCGGGTATGAGGGCAGTAGTCACTTCCCGGCTGCCCACACCGTGGAAGGTTGTTTCTTGAGGGACCTGAGAAGGAAGATAGATTAGTGTTGGTCTTGGAGACCTGGTTGCGTGACCGCAGAGTCCAAGAGACAACTGCTTGAGGCCGGTCACGCACGGCATTTTTATGAAACGATTTTTGAGGATTAGCTCCGTTCTTAAAGGCCCTTAGTAGGCACCCTTACCACCGGAGACGGAAATCCGTGAGTTAGGGGAGGTGTGACATTTTTAGGGCCGACCTTTTCTAACCCTTCCTTCCTTGTGAGAAGGCAGCATCGCTGCAGATGCTGGTTGTCCGAGGTAAACACCTTACTGCTGTCACACCCCTCTGCAGTCAGCAGTACGACTTCGCCCTCAGACCTTGGGTAGCTGCTTTTAGTCTCATCGTTCTCCAATCGACCTGCCTGGCATTGTAGGACCTGCAGGGACATGTGTTCCAGCCAGTATAGCTCGGTTGGGTGATCACGATAGGCAAGCCCGACCACCACGTCAAGGTAGCAGCTTCGGTCGGGGCAGGATTGTAGGGTCCATGTCCACCGTTTGTTTGGAATCGGGGTTCGCCAGCCCACCTAGCTGGATCCTCTGTACCTACCCATTTTGGAGAGGGAGAGCTTATCTCCATACCCTGGACTATACCAGGGAATCGGGGGACGTTAAATAACTCAAAAATAGTTCCCAAAATACATTGAACCAATACGAATCTTTACCAGTTATTTGATCACAGGTAGGTGGATCCTCCGTACTCACCAACTAAGTTTAATCCCCGTCGGACATTTTGTTTTCGTCATTTGGATTTCGTAAAGAACACGACATCTAAGAGAATGCAGTGACTATACACACTTGGCCATATGAGAGCGTTTGGAAAGGAAGAGTGTACTCTTTCCAACCTCGGCCGTACCAGTGCATTTTTTGTGAGTTGTTCTTTGTATTACGATAGGTACTGTGGCTGCTCCCATTACTCTGACATTCGCCTTGATAATTTTTATATCTCTTTGCTAATGTGTGGTTTGGCAATTCGAACCAATGCACACATGCCTTAGATTGTCTGTAACCAAAATAAGAACTGTCTAGCAAACTTCAGACTTGTAGTGTTCAATTCACCTGTCTAGCTTAGTATTTTAATCTTGAAAAAAAAGAAATAACTAATCTTAACGATAATAACTCAGTGATGAATATTTAATGCAGATTTCGTTTTACATTTACATTCTCCCTACAACTTATAAAATGAAACTGTTAAAGATGTTTCTATTCATATTCATGGCTACTAGAAACAATCTTAAGAATTAAGTAAAATAGTTATGATATGACAATGTATACACTAGCTCATAGCAACCTTTTTTACTTAATTTACGCTATCAAAAGATTCTTTAATACAGTTGTTGTGATTGCATAACACAGATTTCGTTTTAATTAAATTTTCTTCCATTGCCAGAATGAAATAAATTTACGGCAACAGTTGGCGTCACTTCAACGTGAAGTTGAATCGGTACGAGCTGATAACGTTAAGCTGTACGAAAAAATACGTTTCTTACACTCTTATGGTAGTCCCGTTGCGCAAAGCCGACAAAATAATTCATCTAATCACTATCCTTCATCACCATTGTCTCCATCACCTTGTCAGAGTCATAATTCAAATGACGCGACTATAATCAAATATTCACAGGTCTATGAAGCTCAGTTAAATCCTTTTAATCAATTTAGTCGATATGAAAAACAACGAGTGTATAAAAAGTTACGACCGTATGAAAAACTGATGTTGCATTTGGTATGTTGATTTTTATTTGTCTTTATTTCATAGTTGGTATCATGAACTTAATCTTAGTTTGTAGACAGCCATTAAAAACAAGGAAACACTGGATAGCCGTTTCATCCTAGTAGAGGGATTCGTTAGCAGTGCTCATTCTTCAAGGACCGAACCTATACCTTTCTGGTCGCACGACGAACGTTTTTCAGTGGCATCTCAATTAAGATTAGTCCGTGAAAAACATAGCTTGCGAATATGTTATATATATATATATATATATATATATATTTCTTTTGAACAAAATTTGTTCTACAATGTTGTTATTCATTTTTGTTTTTTTTTACAGGGACGTTTTGTTAGCTCCGATCGTCGACTTCGTTTGGGTGTCTTTTTGTATGCAATATTCTTGCATTTATTCATATTTATTGCATTGTATAAAGCAGCTCATTTCCAACACAGTGCCTTAGAAAGTGAAGCCAATTGTCACTCTCGGTAAGTTCGTAATGATGAATTATCTGTTTCGCACAAGTTAATTAATAGTGCATGCACTCTCGAAATCCTGATCGTGTCTTGTAGAAGGCTTGGTATCAATCAGTTATGGACTAGAACGGTGAATACTTCATAATTTTTATGATATTAGGTTATAATCATCCAGTTTAATTATTAGATGCTTGAAAAAATCTACATTAAAATAACACACACACAAGCTAACAACATTATTTGCACTTAGGTATTCATTAAGCTCTACTTTAATTATACAGTAATATGTGCAATATATATACATTATGGGGTCGTAGAGATTGTTGAATTACTTTTTTGAAATCATGAACCGATCAGTGTTAGACCACGATTAGAAACGTGGAAGCACTGGATAGCCGTTTCGTCCTGGCATGAGACTCGTCAGCAGTGTGCACCCACAACTCCTGAACCTCACAGGATTCGGACCCAGCACTCTCGGTCTTGCGCAACCTCATCCCACTGTATTCGGTGAGTATTGCTCCACACCCAAATAGGGTTGAACTCCACTGGTCTAAAATTGATCGATCCATGATTTCAAAAATTAACTCAACAATCTCAACAACCCCATAATGCAAATTACCTGGCTCACTAGTGAATAGCTCCGTGAGGAATCTTCTCCGAGTTTTAGTGAGAAGACGTAACCAGTGCAACTCTGTTAAGTCTTATCAGACCACGTAAAAAGAGGGTTATTACAAGGTTCTTATGAGTATATAGACTGGGATTGTTGGCTCAAATTCCTATAACCTATGCTACTTGTAGAAGATACGGTAGAACCCCATCGGGAAACTGCAAAGATATACGGAGAACCACTCTGAATGATTAAGTCTTATTTATTATGTGACCATTATCGACCAGGCATCAAAAATATTGGAACGTATTGTCTTCGTTCGTTTACTTACGACGGAGGGAGATGTTCACTAATGCGTTGGTTAAGTTAACTTATGACACACCTAAAACAGTTTTTTCCACAAGATCAGTTGAATCGGTAGTGACATAATGAAAGGATAAGTTACTTGATCATTGTCAATATATAGATAAATACATTGGTTCAAATCCTATTGGGTTCGTAACTTTATTACTATTTTCATCTATATTGCTTGGGGTAGCTAGTATTTTATTGCAAAATATGATACTCGTATTTTGTGTGTTGATTGTAAACTTACTTGTTTTTAGTTCTGTCCATACTAAGCTTTGACAGTCACTGCTTTCATCGCCCAAAATTTCATTTCTTAACCTAAACTCAGTATGATTTTGATAGAACAGTGAGAAGACGTAATTGATCTGAAAAATGTGATGTATTTGCGCTATACATTTCGAACAATCTGGTCACACATCACATTTTTCAGATCAATTACGTCTTCTCACTGTTCTATCAAAATTTATAAAAGGGACTAATTGTTTTAAATTCAGTATGATTTACTTTAGAACCGTGTAATCTTAAAGAACCTGATAGTTTTCTAACTGTCGACTTTGAGTCCTTTATTCAAACGAACCTAACAAACGCCTCAATTGTAAGCAAACTTCTATAAATTAGGTTTTTAACCACTGCATCTACAAACTGTAAGTTTTGAATGCTTTCGCAAAGATTACGAAAGTTACTCAAAGTTTGTTATTCGTTTCCTGTCGTGTTTCTCCTTGCTCATCTAAGCTAACTTGTTGAGAATAAATTCTTTCGTAAACAGCTGCGCATATTGAGATAATTTTCTACATTTGACTTTTTTGTCTACTATTGTTTTTCATGTTGATTTTAGATTTGAAGAACATATGCGTGAAGTTCATAATCTAGGCGGTGGAAATTTCTAATATTTGTTTTTCTATACTTTCTACTTTAGTTTCTTTTTAAATTATAAGCAAATACAATGCTCTTCTATTCACAGAACAGCATCATAAACAAGATTGTTACTATCATTATTATGTGATACTGATTGCCTTTATCAACGCAAAATCCCCGCATGTATCTGTATATTGATATTTTCTGATTTAATTTTATAAAATTTATTTCGAATTGAATATGATATTTTGACTGATAAAAATTTTTTAATTAGAGAAATTTACCGTTGATGCTATTATAAGCATGTAATGTATCAATGTGCTATGGAGAAAAAACAAAATTCAATCAGTTTGTATTATGTTAAAAGTAGGTTTATGGTGGAGTTTAAGAAACCAATCAAGGACGATCATTTAACCGAGTTGCATTAACTGATCTTGAAATAGTTCTTATTTCTTAGTGCCCAAATTTTCTGTGCAGTACATACATGCAGATTAAATGGTTCAATCCCATGTTCCAAATTACTAATCTTCATGTTTACACTAATTCATTTCATCAAAATTGTACGACCCGTTTTAATGAATATCAACTACATGAAGTGGATTCGTAACTAAATAAAAATCAAGCCACTTGTGATGACCAAATTTTATAATCCATACAAAAGCAAACTCTTCTTTTCCTTAGGAGTTACTGAGTAAAGGGAACTTGTCGATTTTTGCTTGTTTTAGGAGGTTCGTTACATGCAAGCTAACGAGCCTTATAGTTAAATTAATAAGTTTTAGTGCAACACTTATTCTGTACTAATAGAATACAAAAATCTTATTTTTTTTTTAAGGCTAAGCTATAGGAAACAAGGTCTATTTTAACTGAATCATACTTAATCAGTCAAACTCAGCATATTTATCGATGACTATCTGTGGGTGTCTATTTTTACATAATTTTCAGATGTAGTTGTTTCACTACCAATTACATTTCTTGAATATCGAGATTCTTCCCTCGCTAGGCAGATTGTTGTCGAAATTTCAAGTGTCAACTGTCCCGTTTACCGATTTCGTGTAGATCCAGTTTCGTAATTAAAAATAACTGTAATCCTAGACAAAATATGAATATTCCAAACTAACCTGTGTTTATCCCTAATGTGATCGCCAAGTGAACTAAAATTGTAATGAATATAAGATTTCACTAAACAATACCAACTGACTATTACTTAAAGCAGTTTATATCATATTCAGCAGTAAAAATATAAGATGATACCTGGCTAATGATTATGGGGAACATTCATTCGGAGTAAAATACTATTCCCTATACACCGTTAAAATTCAAGGACAGTTAACTGACTGGTCTAACGTAGTATCAGGTCTGTCGGCAATCCAGTCAAGTGTGTAAACATGTGTTAAGACTCAGTGTTTTCTACACGCAGTCAGATTAAATTCACTATATTTGGGGCTTAATCAACACATACAACCAAAAACTAATCAATGTGTGCATTAATGTAATCAAAAAACTTGCTCCTGAAACGCAGTAATCTCCGCAAAAGTGTGATTACTGGGGCCTGGATGGTATGGCATTTAAGGTCATTAGCAAACAACCGGAACCAGTCTTACTTCACTTTTTAGAAGCAACTATAATCACGTTTTCACTTTGTTGACCTGTGTGCACAGAATGGTAAAACTTCCCGTACCGTGGTTGATTTATTTAACGCGCTCATTTATTTTGAGTTTTAATTACGTCAACGTAATGTCCTGGTACGGTGTAGGGTACGCTTTCTCTCTTTCCAAATGCTCTCATGGCCAAGCTTGTATAGCCACTGCCTTCTAGATAGCGTGTTGTTTACAAAATCGAATGTCCGACCGGGGATTAAATTTGGTTGGTTAGTACGGACGACCCATCTAGGTGGGCTAGCGAACCCCGATTCCAAACAAACGGTGGACATGGACCTTACCATCCTGAGGAGGAAAATGACGTCCAAACATACTGTTGGCCACCGGCTATCATGGGACTGCATCTCCTAACGCTGCTTCACTGCTTTGTGGATTAGATTTGTAGGCTGAAGGCTCAGGGAGTGGCCCCGTAGGAAAACCACCTACTTACGCCCATGCAAATTCATCTAGGTGCTCCTTTATATCAACAATTGTATTTGAATAAATAAAGCACAGAGATTATGTGTTATGCGATCGTCCTAGTTTGATACGCATAACAAAAGCCCTCTATTCGCAAGAATACATCAGCCATCTAAGCGTAAAGGATTTTAATGAATAAATCCACAAAATATTTACACAGTTACACATCATTTCGCCTTGGAAAATAAAACTATATTTTCAGCTGTGGCTGCGCACTTAGTTTTTATGATGAAGAGGTAATATGCTGGACAAATTAGACATATAAAACAGTGGTTCACTTTGATAAATTTGAATAGAGAAATAAGAAGACATATTTTGTGAGATAGTACCATTTCGTGCTTTCTCGTCAGTCACATACAAGCAACATGTTATTTGAGTAAATACAGTTTTGAAGATAAGGTCAAAATTTCTTATTTAGCATGACATTCACTCACTAGAACCATGGTAAACAAAGTCAACATACAGTTGCTTTTGAACACATAAAGTTGGACTTTTCCGACCAATCAAGATAGCTTCGGGCAGTTTCAGTGTGTGTGGGTTTTGATTACATGTCACAACTCTAAAGGCTGATTTTGGGTCAATTTGATGACCACTCATCATTAGATGTTTTGCAATGGACGAGGCTGGGTTTCTTGATCGATTTTGAGATGATGGGCTAGGTCGATGTAACATGGATTTGATTAGCCATTTTGGAATATGTTCCCCTATCCTGTCTTCCGATCGGCGATCTGTCCTCCCTAAGTAACTTTCTCCGCAGTTACATGTGAATTGGTAAATACAGTGGGATTTGGACTGAATCGGTCTTGGAGACTTGATTGGGGTAACTGAGATCGATTGGGTTGTTATGAGACCAATTTTATCCATGATAAATTCACCATACCATAAGCTAGCAAAGTGGCTGAAAGAAATTTTGGATCCTGTCTATAAACAACTGTCGACACATACTATCCTCGATTCCTTTGAACTTCTCCCAACTTTGGAACATTTGAATATTTCTAATAGTCGGATGTGTTCTTTCGATGTAGACTCTTTATTCACAAATGTACCTCTCGAAGAAACTGTGGAATTTATTTGTGACTTCATAACTTCATACAACATAAGAATACCCATTCCGACTACCTATCTTCGAGATCTAATTTTGCTGTGCACAAAGAATATAAAATTCTATCTCCAAGGTAAAGCATATACACAAATCGACGGAGTGGCAATGGGAAGCCCTCTCGGACCTGTTTTAGCAAACATATTCATGGGAATGATGGAAAGGCAAGTGAGTCACTTCATCGATGGTATTACACTTTACAAACGATATGTCGACGATATTCTTGTCATATTACCACATTCTACAGATATTAATGAAATCAATGATTTATTTAATGCGATTCACCCGAATCTGAAAGTCACTTATGAGGAAGAAAAGAATAATGAACTAGCTTTCCTCGATATCCTGCTCCATCGCCGTCCAGACGGATCAATCAGACGAAAAGTACACCGCAAACCCACCTGGTCGGGACAGTACCTCCACCTCACTAGTTTCTGCCCCATACAATATAAACGTTCTGTTGTCAAAACTTTATTCGCTCGAGCAAGTAGAATCTGCACTGCTGATACATTGAACGACGAACTCAAGCTTATTACTGACACACTTAAATCAAACGGATATCCCGAAACGTTTATTGGTCATCAGAACACAACTATGACTAAGCTGACAGCAACTGATGTGCCCAAGAAACCAGTGTACCTACAGTTACCTTTCAAAGGTGATCATTGCATGAAAATTACAACCAAACAGACTGCAGCTGCAATAAAAAAGACCTTCAATGCAGCCAATCTGAGGCTTATCACAACAACCCAATCGATCTCAGTTACCCCAATCAAGTCTCCAAGACCGATTCAGTCCAAATCCCACTGTATTTACCAATTCACATGTAACTGCGGAGAAAGTTACTTAGGGAGGACAGATCGCCGATCGGAAGACAGGATAGGGGAACATATTCCAAAATGGCTAATCAAATCCATGTTACATCGACCTAGCCCATCATCTCAAAATCGATCAAGAAACCCAGCCTCGTCCATTGCAAAACATCTAATGATGAGTGGTCATCAAATTGACCCAAAATCAGCCTTTAGAGTTGTGACATGTAATCAAAACCCACACACACTGAAACTGCCCGAAGCTATCTTGATTGGTCGGAAAAGTCCAACTTTATGTGTTCAAAAGCAACTGTATGTTGACTTTGTTTACCATGGTTCTAGTGAGTGAATGTCATGCTAAATAAGAAATTTTGACCTTATCTTCAAAACTGTATTTACTCAAATAACATGTTGCTTGTATGTGACTGACGAGAAAGCACGAAATGGTACTATCTCACAAAATATGTCTTCTTATTTCTCTATTCAAATTAGATATAGACAAAAGATAAGTCTTGGTTCAGCTGTCTGGATTGAAGTGGCGGTACATCAGTTATAATTATGAGTATCAATAAACACCTTTAATTACTATCGCTAATTTTTTTGACACGAATATTTTATGCATGTTTAATCAAATGTTTATGTCTGATTCCTACTTTTGGTTTTATTTTTAACATCCATATCTAAAGAATGCCAAACCTTACTTTATTAGAGATATTACTCATCGTAATTTTAAGCTATTTGCAGCTGACAAAAAGCTTTGGGATAAAAAGAATTCATTTCATTCGGTAAATCTTGGTGTTTATGTTCTGATTAGATTTATCATATGGTCAAGTAGTATGAAATAAAAGCGATTATGAACTGTATTTCAAATGTACGCCATCCTGTGTGTTATGTGGAAGTTGAAAACCTCTAGCAACTAAATAAACTTCTGATGATTCTTTTCGACTAGCCTCCGGTTTAATCAGACGCGTAAATGAAGGACGCTTCAAATTGAATGTATAAAATTGGGAAACTGTTTGTTTAAATTCTTTTGTCTCAGCACTTTCGAACAGTTTAATCACAAGAGTGGCACCTTGTTTTGAAACACTGATTGCTATCTAGAAATAAAAGTTTTCAAACACGGGAATAAAATTCTCAGTATACTTGAAATATGTAACTCAGCGGCATAATTGAGTACAGTAGATGAATCAGTTTAAAAACTAGCAGGGACAGAAATGAACACTAAATTATTGGTCTCTTTATCGTTCTGCGTAATAATAGAAAAGGCTAACAATTCTGCATAATTTCTAATTGAGCCATTAACGAATATCCGAAAGAATGATAAGATCATTTTATTGTGCGGTTGTGGAGATTCCTAAATTTCATCGAAATCAAGGACCGATGAAAGTTAGACAACCATTGGAAACCTTGGAGCACTCTATCCGTCTCGTCTTTACATGGGATTCCTCAGGAGGTTTTTAATGGTTGTCGAACTTTGATCGGTTTGTGATTTAAATGAGGATTGTTTCAGTTGGGTGAGTTGAATTTTCCACGGGAACATAAGTCATACTAAATCAAAACAGAGAAAAATCCATTTTATGCCAGTTTATCAACTTATTTTATACAGCAGAATCAAACACTTCTATTGATTCAATTACCATTATCATTACAATAACAGAAATAAAATTGCTGAGTGCAATGCAGCTTTAAACAACATGTTATACCTGTTATTTAGATTGCAATAATAAACGGGTTATCTTTCATACAATAATATACTAGGATAGATTTAAAGTCCAAACTTGATAATATACTAATTATGGGCTATAAATAAACTTTCTGAAGACTTGTTAAACAACCCCACTTCTATAATCTAAATCAATATTAACACATAATCGTAGGTTCGTATTAGTTGTGCGAATTCTTGACGGTGGCGTAACATGCGAAAACATTTTACGTATAAATGGAAGTCAGAATGGCTAGTGCCGATATTTGACACCCTTGCGATGTTGGTCTGACTGTAAAATATTCAGTTTAAATTTTGCTGGTGGGAGCAAATATTTTTCTATGCTCGTGAATTCTGTCCCGTTAAGGTTGGAGGTGTTCTGTGACTCAACGTTCGATTATTGTTGTCTCTGAAGGCCGGATAGCAGCACGCTACTGATACTGAGACTTGTCAATGTAGGTTCGGGTAGTGCAATAATCCTTCAGTTAGTTTCGCCTTCTTGAAACATTGGCTTCGGGTGGACTTGACATGCTTTATGAATATCATCCTATGGGCTCACACGGTATCAATACCCGTGGCTGGTTGAAAAAGGAAGAGTGGTAGTCAGTTTATAGCGGCCGTGGTGAGATCTAGCTATGTAGGACTGGGATCTTTTGGTCCATGAGAACTAATCGGTTAAGATCCTAAAAATAACGCAACTCAATTGCTCTAGATATTGTCAGATGGCTCGAAATGCAAGCCAATGGTTGTCCTGTTATTGCTTTCATTTAGAATAATAAAAATGTAAAATCCGTCAAGTGTACGGGAAATCCTTCATAGTTGTTTCCCTCTTATCACCTACTATATACTATTATTATACTTTTCTTCTTTTCTATACGGCACTCTTTTACCCTCGCTTACTTTTTTACAACGTTATCTCTTTTAATTTCGTATGGTACATTTGAATTTTGATGCCGAGCTGTACTAAATTTTATGTGTAAAATAAAATACACAAATCATCATATCAAAAATCGATGTAAGTTGTATATTGATTAGCTAACTTACTCGTAAAATATTATGAGCTAATTTGATCATAGCAGGTACATCGATTTCACGCATTCCTGTCACATTTGGAGCTGTGTCACTTAAAACAATATCAACACCGGGCATTAATTCCTGTCTCTCGTGTTGCATCTGCTCACAGTTTTTATCATCATTATTACTGTTAAAATGATTGAAAATTGATTGACTAATCAAATGTATACACTCAGACGAATTATTTAAATCAACACCACAATGTGCAATAACACCGGGTAATGGTGCAAAGTTTGCCAAATCAAAAGCAATTACTAAACCTTCATTTTGCTTATTTGAAATTTTGTTATGATCATTAGACTTGATTAAAGATGTAGCTACTTGACACCATGATCCTGGAGCAGCACCACAATCAACGACAATATCACCAGGTTTAAAAAGTCCACCGGGAATTTTATCATTCAATTGTAATAATTTGAATGCACTACGACATCTATAACTCTCAAGACGAGCACGTTTTACATAAGGATCTGAACGTTGACGTGCAATCCATCTCTATTTAAAATAAAGGATATATATTTAGATAAACAGAGATTTGATAAACGACATTAAATGCGTGAAAAAAACATTTGCGTTTTGTTTTCTATGATAATTCTTGGGTCATACCTAACGATAGTATCTTTGGGAAACGTGTTTTCATAACTGATGTGTGCTTTCATTGAGGAACTGAAATAAATGATTCTACTCACAAATAAATCTTTTGGCAACAGATTATGGACTAATGAACTCAGTAAGTGGATAGTATTTTGTTGACCAAAGTATCTGAGATATCCTGAGTCCAATCAGACTTATGATATAGATCATTAATGTAGCCTATTCTTGGTAACCTAATGCAACGAACAAATCTTATGTCATAAATCAATATTCATATTATAAAAAGGAATCTATTTATGATAGTTAAAGACAATTATTAGTACGAAAGGGCATCTATATATTTATGCGTCACACATCAATGAGTTTGTGTGCGGTCTGAAATACTGTCTGAGTACTTAGTCCGAAGTAAGTGGTTTTCTTACGGCGCCACTCCCTGAGCCTTCAGCCTACAAATCTAATCCACAAAGCAGTGAAGCAGCGTTAGGAGATGCGGTCCCATGATAGCCGGTGGCCAACAGTATGTTTGGACGTCATTTTCCTCCTCAGGATGGTAGGGTCCATATCCACCGTTTGTTTGGAATCGGGGTTCGCCAGCCCACCTAGCTGGATCCTCCGTACCTACCCATTTTGGAGAGGGAGAGCTTATCTCCACACCCTCGACCGTACCAGGGCATCGGGGGACGTTGAATAACTCAAAAATAGTTCCCAAAATATATTGAACCAATACGAATCTTTACCAGTTATTTAATCACAGGTTTGTTCAATATAATAATTTTATTTTCTTGTAGCATAGACAAATGCATTTTCATTTCAAATCCCTTATTGGTATTATTGAATTATCTGGTTTTAAGCAGGATATTGGAGGAAATTAAGATAAGTTGAAATACTATCTAAAAATTTTGTAGGGATAATGATTGATTTTTCTTGCAAGTATATATATAAATATACTTTAATCGGTTACTGTTCAGTCAAGGCATTACTCAAGGATAGCGTAATTTGTATAGCCTTACTGAAATAAGTATTTATTTGAAACCCAATGATTATTTTATGAAATAATAAAAATTTAAGGCAGAGACCATTAACAGTTATTGCAGACAAGACAAATGCACGGTAAACTAACTTGAGAGCTTCCATCATTTGAACGAATATTGATGATTAAACAAGATGCTGTCTGATTCGTTATGCAATGTGGTAAACTCTTTCTTAAATTCAACCAATATAATGAATGCTGAATAAGTAAAGATAAGCATAATTAGTGTTTTATTATTAATAATAGAAAGTTTGAGATTTCTGAATTACATAGTTTACATAACAGGTTGATCTTAGTTTGAGGGCCATTGAAAAAAATGTCTTGTAGTAGCTTGGAACTCCTCAGAAGTACTCACTCATACACCACATGCAAACGAACCCAGAACAAGTCTAATAAAGACATACAGTAAGTGGTAAGTTCAACTACGTTGGATATGCGCATCCAAAAATGGATGCGTAATTCCTCATGTTGAGTGAATTTATGTGGACCACTGACTGCCGACTCAATGATCTGAGAGTTTGGCGATCGACACGAGGGTCCTAGGCGTGATATAACACTAACAAGTGATTATTTATACTTTTTGAAACCTAAAGAATACTGAATAACACTACATATAGTTATATTTACATTTTTGGCTCTTTGAAGGAGTAAGATGTTCTGAGAGATTACATAAACTCTTTGTCCATGTTGAATGTACAAGCAGATTGTCAAGACTTACATTCAGTCAGATGGACATTTGTCGCTACATAATCAAAAGTCAGTAGTTGATTGTGAACTAAGTCAATTTCTATACAAAGTATTTTGTGCAGTAACACTATTCTACTTGACAGTGATATACTTTAAAGTAGAAAGAAAGCATACAAAATCAACACTGGATAATATATTCTATTGTGGTAATATAGACGCGTTACAGTTTGGAGAGATTTTAACTCAAACGTTTTTGATTCCACACACATAATTAAACCAACTATCATTAGATGGCACAGCCTTACCAAGTAGCATAGAATGACCGCCTATTTATAGAAAACACTAAATTTCAGCATAAAGTAAAACATCTTTTGACCTGGAAACACCCATAGCCGACCCAACGATGGACCGAACTAGATCACATCGCCAAAATGCCATCGGTGGAGAGGTTCTGTTAAAGACTGCCGCTCTCATTCTGGAGCATTTGTTTAGACTGATACCATGCTCTAGTGCAAGCGCGTATTTTTTTGCGCCTTACTGGACGCAAGTAAACATCTATGGGCTCCACTTAATGATAATGAAAATAATAATATATTTAAGGAACAACTAGAAAACGTTAGGCAGCCATGTAGTAGGTGATGCCCACCATGAGGCAGCTTGGTATGGTATCAAAGAAGCTGAGGAAACAACAGTGATATCTGCTAGCAAGGTAAACTATAAGGTTATGGAAAAGCCGTAGATCTCAGTAACATCTACCGAACTGATAAATGTTCAAAAACTCTGAGTACAATGAGAATCGAAGTCAACTTAAGCGCAGGCTCATGAAAAGGCTACGCAATGATCGAGAACAGTGGTGGGTAGCGAAAGCAAGAGAGATGGAAAAGGGAACGGCGATAGGCAGCAGTAGACAACTATTCAGACTCATCAAGGGGACCGGTATTAGGAACCCGATTGTCAGTGAAACTATTTCGGAAAAAGATTGCTGTGTCATTCATTCTCAATACAGAAGATTGAATCGATGGGAAGAACACTTCACGGACCAGTTCAATTTGCCTTCAGCCACACTTCGTTTGCCAACGATCTCCAGTCATCCTGAATTGCAAATCGATGTAAGCTTTCAAATTACTGACTGAATAGTGCTATAGCACCCACAATGATTGATAATCTTGGGTTAGATTTTTTGTGTACTGTTGAAGAGTCATACAGTAGGAAGCAGCGAAGTGACTAAGGTTTCTTGAAATCAATGGTTCTATAGCTGATAGCAGTTTCTGGTGAAATCGCTACCGAAATAACTGTCTTATTTAAATTTGGGTTGCTTTATTCACACATACAAACTGTAATCTATACTGTTCTGTTTAGTGGTGCTTGCAGTGGGTAACAATCAGTAAATGTGAGTAGATAAATTAACTGATATGAACAGACATCCCGTTTAATGTGATCCGCCTCGGTGCGTACAACTATGTCACTAAACAATTAAGGTTCACTAATCTCCAAGATAAGTAGTATAAGCTGAAGACATGCAACAAAAATAACCCATAAAAAGTTACATACAAAGCTCTTTTTGAGTATTTTGCATGAAAAATAACTAAACACACAAACATAAACGGACAACACCCAATAAAATAATATTGTCGTGGCAAATTAGCCTCAACAACATTAACATGAAATCAAGAAACCCAAAACGGCACCAATAAAGTACATGTATTTATACTAATTAGGTATTAAAACCTATGCAAAAAAACATCATACACATTAATACATTATATAATTTGGTTTTATTCAAAAATGATTAGACGTTTATTACAACTAATGTTTGGTTCACATAAAATTCATTGTTTTTATCAATAAAATAAGATGTTATCGGCGCAAAATTGGATACATTCCAATGTAGATAATATGCGTACCGGCGAAATAATAAGATGGTAAAAATAAAAACGACGAGATAAAATAAAAGTATTCCAAGTAAATTATTTATTCCCAAGTTATCAGAAAATGTTATACCGTATGAAAAATTAGATGGATTCATCCATGTACCAAAGTCTGGTGGAGGCCATAACCATAAACCTCGTCTATTTGCATCACGTACAATATGACTTAAAGAAGGAATAAATATTAAACACCAAATTATGGAGAAAAATCTATTACATGTTAATAAAGTAGGATGAGGTACAATAAATAAAGTAATGATTAAAATAATATAAATCAATAGATATAAACCAGCCCAATGTAAGAATGGCCTACCAGGTAGTTGACGAGCAAGCTAAAAAGAAGTGAATATAAAAAGTATCAAAAGAGATATTGTGATAATTTGAGTTGAACTACGAAAAAAACAAGAATTATAATCGGTTATTTCATGTCTATTACTCAATGATCCTACTTTCTTTCGGTTTTTTGTGCAAGAAGATAGTGACAGAACATGTCTATGTCAATCAGTGTCAGAAAAATTGGACGACAGTCAAATATGCCACAACTCTAGTTGTTAAAAAAAGGGCTGGTGATATTATTTACATACTTAAATTGTAGCAGGTGTAGCAAAGTTCAAACATGAAACTAATGATTGAAAGTTGACAGACAGACAGACAGATACAACGCAGAACTTCATAAGTAAGTAAGTTAAGTTATTTATTCACCGTATCATGAGTAAAAAAGCAAGGCGGTGTTATTGTTTAGCAATGTTATGAATGAACAGAAAGATGATACTCGATGATATGATGTTTGCAAGGTCACGTACCTTGATTATTAAGTTACCCCTTTATTTAACACGTTATCGGTTATCTTGACTTAGATGCTCAATGTACGATGAATCGGCATTAGAGATGAGGGGTACTGTTTACAAGTACTAGTGCGGAAACCAGCATCGGGGCAGCGGTTTATCCAGACGAGTCCAATATAGGACGTAACGTACATCCTAGATCCCAATGTCAGCAGTCACTTAGTCAGTTACAACGCTGAACTTCGTACATGAGTACATCAGATCAGGTTGCAATCCCGCATTAGCAGAGAAGCAACTTTCAATTCAAATCCAATAGTGGTATCGATAGTGGAGACATTAGAAGTGAAGGAGACGATTAGAATTCGAAAATAAAATTCGTGAAGTATAACTCGGTAACATAAATTTAGAAAGAGAAAGACATGATATCAGTCAGTCGGTAAGATGCAACGTAGAAATTCGCACATAAGTACATCACTTCATGTTGCCATACCACACTAGCACAGAGATACAATTGTCAATTCAAATCCATTAGTAGTAGATGTAGTAAACGTATTAGCAGTAGTCGGAGAGCTTAGGAATAGAAGATAATATTCAAGAAGTATGATTCAGTGAGATAACTTTAGAAAGACAAAACTAGAGGTGTTCAAGATCTCAGTCAATCTGGCAGCTAAAACTGGACCACCATCCTTAAATGTCTCAGGGTCAGTCTATCAGGATATGCAGCTCGCCGTCGCTTCAGATTTCCTAACGCTTCCTCAACTTCATTAAGACTAATGGGACTTGCGTCGATTTGCCATTCAGGATGACTGGAAATAGTGAGTAACCGAAGAGTGGCTCGAGGCCAGTTGAACTGATCCCTTAAGCGTTCTGCCCATCGATCCAGTCTCCTGGATTGAGAATAAATGGTACAGTAATCCTATTCCAAAATAGTCTCACTCACATTTGGGTTACTAATAACAGTATTATTGATGAGTTTAAATAATTGCCTACTGTTTCCTATCGCCGCTGCCTTTTCTATCTCTCTCGCTTTCTCCACCCACCACTATTCTTGATCATTGCGTTGGCTTTTTATCAGCCTGTGCTTTAGCTGACTTTGTTCTTCATCATGTTCAGTCAGTCAGATGCAACGTAGAACTTCGTACGTAAGTACATCAGTTCAAGTTGCCATACCAAACTAGCACAATTGTCAATTCAAATCCAATAGTAATAGAGGAAGTAAACGTATTAGAAGTAGTCGGAGAGGTTAGGATTAGAATATATTATTCAAGAAGTATGATTCAGTAAGATAACTTTAGAAAGACAAAACTAGAGGTGTTGAAGAATCCAGAAGATTAGGATTTGAGGGAACACAAAGAATAAATGCATCGGCGCCATTGCGAACGATTTTGAGCCATGTCATTCAAGGTCTCTAACCATCGATTATTATCATCTCGCGGACCCCAACCAGGTAGTCGACAATTACCGACATGGCTAAGTCCACTCGTCAATGACTTCATGGATTTCTGCCATATTTTGGTTTGTCCGCCCCCAACTTTCTTCCAACCTACTCCTACACTACAAAACAAAGGTCGACGAGGCAGTCGGTGGTTGGGTATACGCAATACATGTCCCAACCACCTCAACTGATGAAGTTTCACCACTTCATCTATTGATCTGCCATTCTTACCTAGCACCCGTTACCTAATAACAGCGTTGCTCACTCGGGTGTCCCACAATATACGAAGACACCTATGATCGAAAACCAGTAATCTACGAAAATCTTCTATTCTCACTGGCCATGTTTCACAGCCATAAAGTAAGACGGAGCGAACCACTGCACAGTACACTCGTCCTTTAGTCAGCAAACGGATATTCTTTGTGTTCTCTCAAATCCTAATCTTCTGGATTCTTCAACACCTCTAGTTTTGTCTTTCTAAAGTTATCTTACTGAATCATACTTCTTGAATAATATATTCTAATCCTAACCTCTCCGACTACTTCTAATACGTTTACTTCCTCTATTACTATTGGATTTGAATTGACCATTGTGCTAGTTTGGTATGGCAACTTGAACTGATGTACTTACGTACGAAGTTCTACGTTGCATCTGACTGACTGACTGATACTAAAAGCTCCAACATGTAGTTTAGAACGGGGTTTCAAGAGTGCAGGAATGACGTTACGTGAACTCGCTTCGTTTGCATTAGTGGTGCAGTGATATAATGGAATGTGAGTAGAGTTAGTTGTGGAGGGATGAGGGGGATGTGTGGGTGTAGGAAGGATTCTATATCGACCGATTCGGTCTCGTGTGTTGATGATGATGAAAAATTCAGGTTACAATTTGAGAGATCACAATGAATAAATGCACCTAGTCGTAACTAATCTATTTTAATAAAACACTATTTATATTTTTAATAGCAATAATATGACTGTTACTTTTACTTGTGTATACTGAGACATTATTTCCGTTAACCACGCAGTTTGATGCACTTTAAGGTTAAGATTGGTAATTTAAAAAGTTCCGACATCAAGTACCATTTTTAATTAAATATGCTATACGCAACTATCAGTAAGACTCTACAAAAGAAAAGTATAATACGGTTATACTAAACTAGAATTAATATTCAAACGCGATTACATTGCACTCACTGAAATGCTTGTACTTCTTGCAGCTATGAAATGATCAATATCCGGTAATATTGCACCGAATGCTGCCCAAAAACACGATTCGAGAATCATCGTTATATTTCTTTGGTAACCTGTAGTATATAAATCCAGTTTACCGTTTATACTTATCAAACAACACATCCAAAACAGTGATCCAGTAAATCCATGGGTAAGAGTTTCCAAAAACAGATGTATATGGGAACCTGAGTTGACTGACTTGCATAATCTAAATTATAAGTATATGATTGTACAATCATTACAAATATGAACATACATTTCAAGTAACCATAATGAAAGGAAACCGGTTAGTATTAGGATTGATTCGTAGTTTATTCCAACAATCTAAGATAAATGTGTGTGAAAGTTTAAAACTGTTATTTAGGTTTACGAAAAGGAAAAAATACACAAATAGGTGATTTATTGTTTATGATTAAATACAAATTTGTTGATAATAGTCTTTTTATCCAGAGTTTCGTGAAGCATCATCGTCACCATCATTTTCACCTTGAAATCTAATTAATTCTTGTTCAGCATCGTCAAAAGCTCGATTTGAAGGATCAACTTCTTCGTCATACTGCAAACATTGATCAATCTGAACTAGTAAGTCTGTTATAGTATCTTCTTTATCCCTATTCAGTGGGGCAAAATGAACTACACTGTAACGTTCAATTAGGTCAGCTAATGCATGAGTAAGTTTATTAAACGGTGCTTCCTTTTCATGATGTTCCTCACCTCCATCAAACACTTGATCCAGATCAAAAAAGTAATCCATATCAGGATTCAGATAACGAGCTATGACATACTTTTGTTTTTGTTCAGATAGCAAATCCAGTTTAGACATTACGTTTATATGAGCAGTTGATAAGGACACCATAGCAGAAAGGGCAGACAATACACCAGCCAAAAAATGTGATGAATCTACAAGAAATCTAGCATCCAAAATAAATATTGTAACAAAACGAAAATCCCATTTTCTTTGCATATATTCAATTATTCGTGGCATGATTGGTAAGTGGGAATATAATTCGATTTGACCAGGACAATCAAATAATAAATAGTCTCCATCCATATCACCAAGTGCTGTATCCAACCAATCCAAATTTTGTTGAAGATATTCTAAGCAGAAAATAAGTCCACCATTCGGACCCAAACGTATGGATTCATCTTCCATTACATCATCTAACTAAAAGTATCCTTAGAAATTCTGATTAAGAATTTACATGGATGAGATCTCTTATATCTGCTAGTGGAGTATATTCGAAAAACTCAGCTGCAGGATCCAAATTAACTACATCAACTTTCCTCCTCAACGTTTCACAATGGGCTTGCATTGTACTACAATAGGTTGATTTACCACAACCAGCTGGTCCTATCACCAGCTGGGCAAATCTAGGCATTATGTTGAAGAAATATGCCACAGAAAATCAATATGTCCTGGAAATGAATGAGAATTATTTCTTAGTGCCGAGAAAAAAGAGTTAAAAGTAACCAAACTTAAAAAAATAAAATCATGTACAAAAAGAGAAGGTAACTAGCACTTTCTGATTTTATCCGTTGTGTTGTGTTGCTCAGTAGCCAAATTAAAGGGAAATAGGTAGTGTTTTTATACACAAGCCCAACTGGCCATTCAAGTGAGAGTAAATCTTATTAACTTAAGAGAACCACAAACATATGCATATACATGAGATATTATTTAGATTAAGCCACAAATGTCGTGTCTCATGCCCTAGAAATGTAAGTTAATTATTCCCAAGCCGTGTGCACTTACCGTTCGATTGGTCTTTAATTGGTCTAGTGTACTATCTTGCTTCAAAGATTCGAAAGACATTTATACTGAATTGTCCTTTTGTATCTGAATGGCAAAACGACCAACGTCCCCCTAGTTTATATGAAGCTGAGAAAGCGTTAGGAAATCTGAAGCGACGGCGAGCTGCAGGTCCTGATAGACTGACCCTGAGACATTTAAGGATGGTGGTCCAGTTTTAGCAACCAGATTGACTGAGATCTTAGGTAGAATCTGGGAACCGGACGTAATCCCATCCGAGTGGTCTCAATCACTGATTGTCCCAATCTATAAGAAAGGACAAAAGTCTTCTTGTGACAATCACAGGGGAATCAGTCTAACTAATATAGTAGCTAAAATATTGGCCTCAGTAATACTTCGACGGTTAACGAAAGCTCGTGAAGAGCAGACTCGAGAAAACCAGTCTGGTTTTCGACCTGGACGTGGTTGTATAGACCACATTTTCACACTACGACAGGTCCTGGAACACAGACACACATTTAGGCGTCCTACGATAGTTGTTTTCCTGGACCTTAAGGCGGCATTTGACTCAGTGGATCGTGAGGTTCTGTGGCAGTGTCTGTCATTGAAGGGTGTACCAAAGAAGTACATTAACCTCATACAAGCCCTTTACTCGAACATCACTGGTCGAGTGACAGCTTATGGTGAACTGTCACCGGAATTCTCTACATCAAGTGGTGGCCGTCAGGGATGTCCACTTTCTCCACTTTTGTTTAATTTTATCATAGACACGCTCCTAGAAATAACCTTATCCTCACCTCAATTTTCAGTAGACCTTCTACCAGGTGGCTCGCTTATTGACTTAGAATATGCCGATGACATAGCTCTATCTATTGATGACGCTGAAAAAATGCAGAGTCTTCTGACCACCCTAAGCAACAATGCAAGCATGTTCGGGATGCAGTTCTCACCCTCGAAATGCAGAATGCTGCTTCAAGATTGGGTTTCATCAGCACCTGAACTAGTGATAGGGAGTGAAGTAGTCGAACGTGTAGACCGCTTCACTTATCTTGGGAGTCTCATCAGTGCTGATGGCCTGGTGACTGACGAAATCTCAGCACGGATACAGAAGGCTCGATTGGCTTTTGCCGACCTGCGTCACTTATGTCGTAGGCGAGATATCCGTTTGCTGACTAAAGGACGAGTGTACTGTGCAGCAGTTCGCTCCGTGCTACTATACGGATGCGAGACTTGGCCGTTAAGAGTAGAAGACTTCCGTGGGTTACTAGTCTTCGTTCATAGATGTCTCCGAAGCATTGCTTGTGTGTCGTGGGACAACTGAGTAAGCAATTTTGTTGGCAGGAAACGGGTGCTAGGTAAGAATGGCAGATCAATAGATGAAGTGGTGAAACTTCATCAGTTGGGGTGGGTGGGACATGTGTTACGTATGGCTTACCACCGACTGCCGCGACGAGCTGTGTTTTGTAGTGTAGAAGCAGACTGGAAGAAACTTAGGGGTGGCCAGACCGAAACATGGAATAAATCCATGAAGTCACTGACAAGTGGACTGAGTCATGTCGGTAGGTGTTGAATACCTGGTTGGGGTCCGCGAGACGATAGTTACCGATGGTTAGAGACCTTGAACGACATGGCTCAAAATTGTTTGCAATGGCGCAGGTGCATCCACTCTTTGTGTTCTATGAAATTCTAAGCTTCTGGATTCCTCCTACTCTCTACCTCTCTCCTTCTAAATTTATCTTACTGAATTGTACTTCTCGAATCATATCTTCGCTCCCTAGTCTCCTCCATTACTGCTAATACTTCTATTATTGCTATCAATCTTGGATTTGAACTGACAGTTGCGTCTCTGTGCTGATGGGGTATGGCAACCTGAATTGATGTACGTACGTACGCCATTGGCGCTAATTACACTCCTTTTCAGTTTGCGTTTTATGATTACCTTTTCATGTTAATGTAAAACGTAAGAATTGGAGTTGAAACAATTTCTAACGAACTTTGATACTTTTCAGGTCTAAATGTTCACAATGGTAACTAGATTGTTAATCTTATTATAAAGCTCTATACAGACCGTTCTGCAAAAGTTCGGGTAAACGAAAATCATTACTTGTGCAGTCCATTGACTGACAAGTTAGTATTTATTTACCTACATGTTTTCGGTTAAAAGGCCTGAAGGGATGTCTAAGTGGATTATGGATTAGTAATAGAGAAGTGTATGCAAGATCTTAGTCGGAAAAAGTGCGACTAGGTCCGAATATAGGGAATGTACGGGCATCTACGAATTCCCAAATCTTGTCCATAACTACGACTTATTAACAGCCTCAATCTCTACCGTCTTTTAACTTTAAAATTAAGGAGACAACCGTTGCCTTTCACTGTTTATGACAACTTCTTAAGGTATAGTCATTGAGCAACAGTAGGTTCGGACACCATTTTCCCCCTCAGGATGGTAGGGTACCTGGCCATTATTTGTTTGGAATCAAGGTTCGCCAGCCCACTTAGATGGGTCCTCTGTACTCACCAACCAAGTTTAATCCCCTGTTCGACATTCGTCTTTTCGATTTTCTAAACAAAACACAAGACAGTGACTATACACTATTGGCCATACGAGACCAGTTCCCACGGTTGCAAACGTCCACTGATTCGCATTTCTGATCTGTGATACAAATCACAGTTATCTCAAACACCATTAAAAAAATGTATCAATTCCTTAGTTTTCCACAATCGTTTTTAAAGATTCGCAGTTTTCTTAAATATGTAGTTACACTTTTAGGAAACTATGGATTTTCTTAAAACTTTTCGATATCCCCATATTTTTGAGTTGCTGCAGGAAAAGTCTCCAGATTGATGTAAATTTTGGAGGTTTTACTCGCATTTTCCTAAAGTTAGAGCTTCCCAGTTCGATTTACTTATCTTTGGATTCAGCCCACACCTGACAAAACTCGTGGCTCTAGGCCTAATTTCCAACAATTTTAACATTGGGACTTCCATGAAATGGATAAAATTTTCTTCAAAGTCAGGAGATTAGATAAGGGTCAGCAAACGTTTGCCCGAATCAATGAATGATTTCTTTCGTCGACCACGAAGCTTCCAAAAGTGCAAGACGAAATAAATCATACCGAAAATCAACTTAATGATTTGAGGAAGTTAAAATTGTGTTGACATCTCACATAGTCTTACAAAATATTATCTAACTTCGGTGTAACGTGTAACTTGAAATAATGCCAGGTCCATTATCCAATATCTTTTTCACGAGCTAGAATAAGCCAACTGATTTATTTGCGCTCGATTTTTGTTCTTTCGGTACGGTTCCAGGTGTTCGGTAATGTCCAGTGGATGGAGGTCTAGCCACTCGACTGTCTAATTCTAATCATTTAGTAATTGGCTGTGAGTTTGTATGTCTCGAGATTTGAATGAAAACGTTTGTTTCAGGGCAGTAGGGTTTCTGGATACCATCAGCTATCACATTACCAGATCGGAGATCAGTTAGTTGCAATGTAGAGAGTAATAAAGATAATAAGGATAAAATTCTGATGCTAATATGAATAAAGTTTCAGAACTGAGTAATATATAGATGAATTTAGTTTATTAATTGGTAGTGAAGGTTGTGAGAGAGGACCGAAGTGTAAGCACGGGAGCGATAACAGAGATAATACGCCAGGAAGATTAAGATGGTGATCTGAGGACACGGAAATAATAACGACTAGCAAGTCTCAAGACATGCTTCATGCACAGCTTGTCCTTGAGGGAGATGATGGTCCGTATGTGAGTACGTGATTATCAAGTCTCTTCTTAAAGCTGTCCACTAGGGGGCTGTGGTCGACTAGGCTTTGACAGCATTATCTTGTTTATTTGCAGATTTTAGGAGCAATTTTTAGAGGATTATCACGTTACTCGTGGTGGCTATGTTCCGGTAATTGCTTCCGTATCTGCGCTATTGGTGTTTGTGTCATCCGAAATGGTTGATTTAACCTTTGTACGATTTGTTCTTCAACTGAATTACCAATTTTGTTGTTCCTTTGTTCAGCGATCGAAGATATTTGTGTCTTTTTTAGGTCAGCGGATGCTAAGACGTGAATAGCTAAATGTAGGCGTGTGTCTGTCCAATCAGCGTTGGGCATAATTTCGTGGATGATAACACAAAATTATTTTTTCGTAAATTGAGGTGTAGCATCAGTCTTGGCTGTATCCCCTCTTTAGTTTGAAATGGTGTAGAGGCTTTGTGAGGTTAATCAACTGACATCGTGCTCTGAGGAGACTATAGGGAGCCGACATCCACTGAGGGTGTAAGTTGTTTGTGTTACGTTGGGCAAAATGATCATAACATGATATTTCGACATTTTTAGTTTAAAACTGATTTTCACTGCCCGTTCCTCCCAATACATAAGATCTATTTGAAGCTCCATCGAATCCTCTTCGCTTCAAGAGGACTTCGAGATCTTTCCATCATCTGCGTAGATCATGCGGCCGAGCTAACTTTGCCTAACAGATTGTCAGTGAATATCATTAAGAGAAGTGGGCCTTAGGTGGTCCCCTGTGGAACTCCCGATGTTGAGACCCTCTAACTTGTACGCAATCTGTTTACCTCTGTGCGAAAATTTCTGTTGTCTCTGTAGCCTCAGTGAAGCCCATTTC